AGCTCATTTGTATAAGAATATAAGGATATATATAATTAACAAATTGTATATAAATTATCAAACATTCTCAACTCCAGTTTTTAAGACCTATTACAAATTATCTAGTACTGGTTAATGAGTCATCCTGTTAGCATTAGACTTCATACTTCCTAAAATACAAAAGCCAATGTCAGATGGGATAAAGCTCTACAGGCAAGACTCCAGGTCTGCTACAACTACTATAGCATCAACATGCAGAACTCTAGGGAGGCATACACAGTTCTTCAGGACAGAAGGCATAGAGGCCAGTGCCCCTAAAATTTTTTGATAACCGAAAGTCTTGACATTGTTTTAACATAAGAACTTTGGAAAAAGTTTAACTCTTATAGAGCTATAAATCAAATTGATTAAAATTAAGTAACATGTTTTATTCACCAGCAAACAGGGCAGCTTTTTCTGTAGCTTATGGGTCAAACTATACAACTTGGGGTTAGGGCCAGGAATGCAGAGAAGACAACAAACATTGAAGACCATCACTGCCTATCACAAACAGCTTAACAGTTCATGTCAATTTTATCATATTGAAAGACTTTAGGTGGCAAGAAGCATTTGCAGGTCGCAAGAAACAAAAGGAATGCTTATTTCAAGAATGATAATTATTGATTAAAGATCACTACGCCTACACAAGATACAGGAACAATGAAATAACAAACATGACAGAAGACTAAAAAAAGACAAACATGACAGAAGACTAACTACATAAAAGATTTAGATATGCCATAATGAAATTTAATTTTATGCAAGTCTGAAAATGTAGAAGTTACGAAAAGGCTGTAGAAGTTACCTAGGAGAGAAATTTTGGCAACAGCACTAGATGTTTATAGTATTTTGATGTGCACAATTTGCTAATTAAGTTCATACCTGAAGATAAATGATATTTGTCACAGTATTAAAATATACTTTGCAAATAAACAGTTTATTCCCTCATAAATTCTGAAAGTCTAAACTAGGCAAGGAGTCCAACCAACATTTCAGGGTAAATGTGACTGGATGTCACTTTTAAGAAAAAGTATTGGCTCTTTGGCTTAAGGCAAGATTAGAGCAACACTTCAAAACCAGAAAATAAAATCTTCCAATCTATTAGAGATTAAAAATCTCATGCTTTTAGAGATTCCAGACCTAGATTTTTCCAAAATTTAGGGTTCTAGATTTTCTGAGATATAGAATGACAGTAAAGATTTGAAGCTGAACTGTAAAATTAAAAACCAAACAAAGGGAGGGAGGGTGTGTTAAGAAAAATATATTCAAAAGAATTTATTACAGAGGACTTCAGCCTAACTCTTATAAGTCTGAAATGATTTATAGGCCCAACACAAATATTCTGGACACCAAAGACAGGTTAAACACTTGGAAACAGCCACTAGTATGTGAGCATATGAGTGACCTGAAATGGTAACTGGAAATTAAAAGAATAATAGCTAAATGAAAATTTATTATACATAAAAATTAATATGAATACTCAACTGTAAGGAAAAAAAACCAACAAAACAAGCTTTATAAATTAAAAAATATTAATGCTTTTTACTGCTATGGACAAAGAGTAATTTTCTGCTTCAGGAACAAAATAAACCTAGGGAAAATAATGGAAGGCAGAAAATATCAATAGCAAATCAGGATAGGAATATAATGTACCCTAATTAAAATGGTTTTATGTGGAAAAAGTTGTATCAATATGATTTGATTTTGTTAGCGAGATTAAAAGTGCAAAGGATAAAGTTGTAGCTTGTAGTGTGAATTTTCAACAGTGTTAGAATTTATATCATATGATATTGTGATTAAAATTTAGTTACTCCAGTATAGCATTACTACATATATATATATTATATATATATATATATATATATGTATTAGACTGGAGTATGAAATGACTGCCAACAGAATCTGCCAATAGAAACTATGCCAAAACACAGAGGGTTTGTAAGAATGGGTAAAAATTTGCAACAGCTTGAAATTTAAATAAACAAACTGAAAATACACAAATTTATAGTAACATCAGTGAATAACAAAAACTGATATACTACAAAGTGAGGATTTCAAGGCAGTCACATAGACAGCTCATACCTCTTGCAAAGGGAAGTTCAAGCAATAGGTATTTAATATAGCCAATACAACAATCTACGGAAACAAAGACAGGAGACCTACAAAATAGTGATGGACTTCAGGCTAGCCCAGTGAGATAACAGCACAGTACACAATCCCTCCCTCCCACCCCCTCCAAAAATTCTCAGTTACTGTTGTAACTCCCTAAAGAGAAACAACTCAAGAAACTAAGTTAGGGCTTCTCAACAGGACCTTCATGTTGCTTCCCAGTGACTGTGCAAAGACTCACAGGGCAATGAGTTACATTGCCAAGCAGCTGAACACCTCAGGAACAGCAAACAGCTCCCTCTCCTCTTTGTCTTCCAGAAGAGAGATTATCAATAAGCCATAACCAATCGTGATCATACCACTAATAGACGTGGCTCTTTTCACTTACAAAAATATACAGAAAATGGCTATGTTTTAGCAAACATGCCGAAGGTTTCCAAGTATTTGGACAAAAGTGGAAGAGGAGAATGCCAAAACAATGGAGAAGGACAAAGCATATATCTGATTCATTAATTCAAAATCACAGTGCCGTAGAAGCTGCCTCTGAAAGTACTGACTTCCAGGAGAAATCAGAGCCTCAGTGTGCTAAATTTAGCAAATCAGCTGCTAAATTCTTCACCTGTCCTGGTTTCTGTCAAGCCACCTATCAGGAGTAGCCTACTAGTGTCAATAAACCAGCAGGTAACAATCACATCAGAAGGCTTGTTCAAACCGTGTGACCAAGTGTACAAAAACCAAGTATGCCACGGACAACAGAAATTATGCCCAAACGTCGGCTTTTCAGAGACACAGAAATTTGCTCCAAAAGTTGAGCTGAGTGACTACTTGTTGTTCTCTTCACAACTCTTCATAAAGATGGAAAGCAATGGTTAGAAGTTAAACTGTTTTATTCTTGCATGCTAAAAATAACAATAAAAATTGAAAATAAAAATGTAGAAATAACAAAAAAAATCAGAAACATAAATAAACAAGACATTCATTAATTAGATCTATTTTCAGACTTTCAATAAGCACTTTAACTTAAAATATGAAGAGATCTTGTCAAGAATAAAACTTAGAAACTATGTTGCACCTTTCACAAAACTCTAGCCTGCAAACTCCTAATAAAGGTAAACACTACATGGATCAGCATTTACTGGGATGCAGTTTTAGACCATATGAAGCTTGTTAATGGACCGTTGTGATATATTGACCCAGGCCTTCCTTACTGCCTCAGATAACAGCAAGAGGTAAGGGTAGAAGAAAAGCAAACAAGTTTACCAAAAAACTGAACTTACCTCTATACCGGGCACTCTCTTCAGCACATTCCTTGAGGAGTCTTCTTTCCTCCTCTGTCGGCACATAAGGCTTAGGTACTTCCCTCTTTCATTAAAGAAATAAATTAGAAAAGAATGAGTAAAGGAACGGTTTGGGGATTTTTCAATCAAAAAAACTTAATGTCTAATTTTCACACCTTGTAGTTTCTGTAGTTTCACCCACTTTCTATAGTTAAGAAACTGGTGGCTTTTGTCCATAAATGTCACATGAAATATATCATTAAAAAAATAAGCACTTCTAGAAACCATATGAGAGAGCAGAAAATACTTTGTGCATAGTCAATCCCAACTCAGCTCACTCCTTTTTCTCCAGAAAAGCCTGTGTTGGTCCCTGCAACCAGCCTTCCAAACAGATGAAATCTGACAGGTCAGGAAGTGCCGCCTTTAAGTACTTCTCAGGGTTTCAGTGACATAACACATGTTGTTGGTTCCTACATATGTATTCAGTGAGAGCCGACCAGCTGTTTCCCCAGCAAGTGAAAGGTTTGTGCTGGAGGTGTGTGACCCTCTCCCACCATGAGAGCCGTGCAGCCAGGCACGCTTCCAGACCACCAGCTAGCCGGGAGAACTGTGAGAAGGCCAATGGCACCGGGGGAACACAGAATCACAGGTCAATTAGGTTGGAAAAGACCTCTGAGATCACTGAGTTCAACCTATGACTGAACACCAGCATGTCAATTCCACCATGGCACCAAGTGCCAGGTCCAGTCCTTCCTTAAACACCTCCAGGGATGGTGACTCAGCCACCTCCCTGGGCAGCCTATTCCAATGTCCAGTAACCCCTTCTGTGAAGAAATTCTTCTTGATGTCCAACCTAAACCTCTCCTGACACAGCTTGATGCCATTTCCTCTTGTCCTGTCACTAGTTGCCTCGGAGAAGTGGCCAAGCCCCACTTTGCTACAACCTCTTTTGTTGTAGGAGTGATAAGATCTCCCCTGAGCCTCCTCTTCTCCAGCCTAAACAACCCCAGCTCGCTCAGCCACTTCTCACAGGAGTTGTGCTCCAGACCCTCACCAGCTTCACTGCCCTTCTCCCGACACGCTGCAACACCTCGATGTCGTTGAAGTGACGGGCTTAGAACTGGACACAGCACTCCAGGTGCGGCCTCACCAGAACCGAGTACACGGGGATGGTCACTGCCCTGCTCCTGCTAGCTGCACTATTCCTGACACAAACCAGGATGCCATTGGCCTTCCTGGCCACCTGGGCACACTGCTGGCTCATGTTCAGACACGAACACCTCCTCACCTCCTGCCGGGACCCCCTGCCCGGCCCCTGAGGCCTCAAGGGCACCGTGCCTGCGAGGAGCTCAGGGCAGGGGCGGCCGAGCCGCTGACATGAACCCCCGCTCTCCGGCCCCGAGCCTGGCCCCGAGCCCCCCGCGTTACCCCAGCAGGAACACCGCCAGCCCGGAGAGGTGTCCCCAGCACAGCGCGGCCGAGCAGCGCGGTTACCTGGGCCGCGTCACCGCCGGGCCCCGGGCCCTGCCCGGCCTCCATGGCCGCCCTGACCCGGAAGTGCGCGCGGCGCCGCTGGGGCGCGCTGCGCATGCGCGGAGCGGTGAGTCCCGGTGAGGGCGGGTCTTCCCGGCTCGGTTGGTTTGGCGCGGGGATAACACGGGCATGGCACTGCTCGACTTAGTGACCGACTCGTTGGTCTTGACAGAGGGTAGTAAAGTTTTTGTCTGCTCCTGCATTGCTCGAATAGCTATGTTGCCCACAGGTTTGTTAACTGGTTGCTAAAGATGCGTGGCCAGAATTTCCTGAAACGAAAGGGTCTCTTGCCTATAAAAAGAGCTTATCTGAATCAGGACTAAGCAAGGGCGTGGTGGGCAACTCTGAGCTCGAAAGTGATACAAATTTGGTGGTTAGGATTGTATTGAAGTGGAAGACTAGGAGGGTGCTTGCCTCTAGCTGATGCTGTGGAAATGGTAGCTTTAGAGGGTGCTTGCTGTTTATAGAAATCAGGAAAAGCTGAGGGAAAAAATAAAAATATGTTTTGGTAGTGCAGTGTATGCCTTGGCATTTTTTTGTAAACATGCAGTACTATGGCTTGAATTCACCACATCCTGATGTGCCCATACTTGCTCATGGAATGCACCACTCCCTTTTAGCCATTCCTAGAGCAAGCTTTACCCTGGAATTTAGCTTAATTTGATGCTTTCTGATGGCTGTACAAAAAAGAACCCATGCATGAAGACAGAAGAAGGACGGTTCACGAGATTAAAGGTGTCTGGAATTAGTAGAGAATGCAACTATAAAAGTAACACTGTGAACACCTGAAGAACCTAGGTCAGATGGACTAATGAAAGCTGTAGAGGATATTGGTTTCTGAGGCTGGATTCTTGAAATAAGCTGGGTAGATAGAACCAGAAACTGTGGATTCTTAATTCATAGCTCTAATCACACCATAAATACATTTCTAATTTGCATGAGATTGGAAGTAATAGGTGTTATCAGGCAGTCTTTATCTCTGCCTGTCACCTGGGCCCATACTATTGAAGCACCATCAAATACACGACCATCCATTATGCACATTATTAACTGGAAGGCAAAAGATTTTGGCCTCATCAGCTCATTACTGTTTTATTTATGGGACTATAAGCACACTTATTAAGGCAATTTATTTCATGCTTTTTCTCTTATGTTTCAGTACATTCTAGGCAAAGAGTACAATGGGTTTTTGTGGGGTAGGGCATGTTTAGGAACTGTACATCCTCTAAACATGGAGCTTCAATGGGGAGGAAATGGCAATCAGTCTCTTTCACTGAAGAAAGTAACGAGCTGCTGTTTTGCTTCTCCATTGTAAAATTAATAGTTATCCATTCAATTTTCTCACTTCACTGTCTTCAAGTCCCTTAGACTTCTAATGGGAAAAAAATAATTACAATCGTACAGCAAACTGGTGAGTTTACCATCCTTTCAAAAAACTTACCTAGTACAGCCTGTTTGTGAGATACTTAAAGTTTTCACCTGGCTACACCCATCCAGTTCTCTTAGAACTGCAGCTGTAGGGCCATATGCAGCATAGAGCATATCCACATCCTTAGCACTTTGTTCTCTGTACTCAAGCTCTTTTTTGAAGTTCATACATAGAAATGTTAACAAGGACACAGTTTCTGCCATCTGGTCTACTTCTATGACTTCCTTTATACTCATGCCATCTTTCATGCAACTATGAGAACTTTAGTTTAAAATCGGTCATGGTATCACCAAGTCCTTCTGAATAAACATAAAATGTTGCTCTCTGGCAAGGTTTAATAAGGCCAGATTTACAAAACTGATAGACAATTTGTTGAAAGCATGAAGTCATGTATTTTTGGACTGCTTTAGGAGTCAAAATTATTTTTAGAAGTATTAAAACTCATCTATGTTTTTAAACTTTTTATCTTTTATGACTTAGTATCATCTAAGAATGAAAACTATATTTGAGATTCAAAATACTGTAATACAGAAACTTTATAGTTAATATTTAGAACTTGGAAGTTATTTCTTGTGAAGGAGATGCCTCAAAGAAGGAAAAAGGAAAACTTTCAAAGGATAAGATTCTTTTAAAACGAACTGATTACTTATGTTAACAAGAAGTTGAAAGGTGTGAAAGTCACATGTTTTCTAATTGCAGTACTTTGCAAAACAAAGTTACTGGTGAATATTCAGAATCTTGAAGCCAGAGCTCAAAGAATAAGTAAGGTGAGTTGTATGCAGTCTGTCAAGTGGTTTAAAAGCTTATCTTTCTGATAATTTTTATTATGCCCTTGTTAACAGTGTAAGGCTTTCTATAAATCCACTCAAAGAAGTGGCCTAACAAATCAGTTTAGTTTTACGATAATGTATAAGACATAACTTAAACAAGTAGATGTGTAAAAGAGTAGAGGTAAAAGCTAATCTGGTAAGGAAAGTCACAGAACAAGTACTGCAAGTTTATGTACTCAAGTATGTAGCTGGAATGATGATTTTTTTTTTTTTTGGTTGGTTGGTTGGGGTTTTTTGCCTTTTTTGGGGTGTTTTTTTTTGTTTGTTTGGTTGCTTTTTTTGTTTTGTTTTTTTTTGTTGCTGTTGTTTTTTGCTTGGTGCTCTGGAGAATACAGTAAAACGTAACAGCTGAGAGGTTCTGGTTCTTCAGTGGCTGCCAAGAGTCAACAGGACTGTGTTGGAAAAATCACTCTCTCCCTAACGAGAAAATAACAACGTCTCATACCAAAAAAAGAGCATTGTTGTAACTACTATAACTGGTGGCAAACAAAGAATCAGTTATTTCCCTGAAGCATTATGGCACATCAGCAAGAAACAAGAGTGGGTGTCTTTGTGGAGCTGATAGTCAAAACCTCAATTAGTAAGGACTTTACCCACATAGATAATAATTGCTATTAACTGCTACTGTAATGTATTTTGTGAAGTACTTTACATTTTAACCAGTCTTTAGGGCTATTTTGTAAAGCAGGCAGGTAACAGGAGAATTTGGGTTTTGAAAGTAGCGTCATTGTACATCCTGTAAAGTTCAGGTGCTCAGGGTTAAATACTGGTGGCATAATTTTCATTGGTGGTGAGGTTCTGCTGCTCCTCTCTATTCCATGGATGTATATGCATTTAGTGGGAAGATCAGGCTGAGCTCCTAACTCGGGATAACTTTAAAATCAGTACCAACTTGTGACGTTATCTGAAATGATGTACAACACCAGTAGCAATGAATCCTGTTTTTCTTGTTAGGTGCTCTATCACCCACCATTTAGACTGTGGTACAATTGTTAAAATGCAATAAAAAAATACTCCACAAAATTCTTAAATCTACAGGAAAGAGTTAACCTCTTCTCAGCTACCAGTATGTCATTATTTTTTTCCTCTCCTGCTTTCTTTTCCTAGTGGTTTCTACAAGTTGATGTACATATCTGCCTTAAGGATGTGCAGCCCATGGACAGAAGTAGTTTACCATGAAGGGACTTTTTACTCCAAAAAACCTAGAATTGTACAAAGTGTGTAACAGAACTTTGAACTTCTCCTACCAGAAACTATACCAACTGTTGTGCTGGTGCATTTGTTGTTTGTAAAAAGCATACTTTTCACTCAATTCTGGTTTTGTTGGATATGCCTATTATAATATGGTACTTGCAAGACAGGGTTATGTTTAACATTGGGAAAGTGGTGACTTAGTAGTCTTTCTACTACTGTTCTGCAGATCTTGTGTTATCATGCTCGAGGTGTGTTTATTTTTCCTTCTTCCTCCCCTTTGTTTTTTTTCAAGCCTGGAAGCTTTGAGGTTATTCAACAGAAAATATAGTTACTTTTTAACTACTTAAAATGTTAATGTTGGTACTGTTTCTATTAACATTGTCTCCCAAATCTTTGGATTGTTTAGAAATACATTGTTACATCCAGCCACCAGACCTGTTGTATTAGTGAAATATTGGCCCGTCCCACCCAGTGCCAGCTGAATTTTCTCAGGGTGATGTTGTGAATTATCTTATTACTTTGCCTTGCTGCCAGTGTCACTTGCATTGCGATAAACCTTGCAGCTTGGCGCCTGGGGAAATGCGTGAAATCAAAGTGAAGTTCCAATGGCCAGAGTAGCCCAAGTGTTTTATGTGCTGTTCAAGGGCAGCGACAGCTTTCCCTTCCCTGCCCCGCAGGCTTCCCGGGAGTCAGTCTGCTCCTGCGGGGGAGCCCGGCGGCTCGCATTGGTAGAACAACGCGAATAATTCCTGGCAAAAAGGCGGTATCTGAGCATTTGTGGAGCTGGCCGGGACACAAGTATTTGCCCTTTTTCGTTTGGGGGAAGGGCGGATTTTCCGACCGCTTCCTACGGGAAAAAGGAGCGCCTTGACGGCACGGGCACGGCGCGGCGGGACCCCTGCGGGGCTTCATCGCCTCAGTAGCCAGGAAAGTTCCTTGATGTTCCCCAGCCACGCTGCTGCTGCGTGCCGGGAAGGCGGTTTTATTCCCGGCTACCTTGATGATACCGGCCTTCTTAACGGCAGCGGCCGGTCCTGCTCTCGCCGGGGTCGCGAAGGCTTCTTTGGGCCGCGCTCCTGCCAGGCAAGCCGGGCGGCACGGAGCGGGGGGCCGGGGCGCTGCCCGGGGCGAGCGAGGTCGCGGTGCCGGAGCCGGCGGGGCGGCCCGGGGGGGGCGGTGCCCCGGGGCGCTCTCGGGGGGCGGGACCGGCCGCTGCCTCGGCCTATGGCGGCCACGGGAAGCGGGCGAGCGCGGCCAATCGGAGTCTCGGCTCGCCCCTCGCGGGCTGGCGATTGGTCGGAACGCAGGGCGGGGGCGGGTCCGGGGGCGGGCCGGGATCTCGGGAGCCAACGGGGCGGGGGCAAGGGGGCGGTGCCGCGTGAGTGCCGCGCGCCTGCCCCAGTGAGCGCGGGCTCGGGCGGGGCGGCGCGTGCCAATGGGGCGGCGGGGGGGGCGGGAGCGCCGCGCCGGGACGTCGAGGAGCCGTAGGGGAGCGGCGGCGGAGGGATAAAGCCGGCGGGGGATGTCGGTGGTGCGAGTCGCTCACCGGCTCCCAGCAGGGTCGCTCTGAAGGCGGGGGGGAGACGCAGCCGCGCTGGGGAGGAGGAGTGGCGCCCGGGGCTGCGGCAGCTTCCACCGGCGGGAGAGGTGAGGCAGCGGACCTGGGACCCGGTCGTGGCTGATCGGGGGGAGGAGGGGGGTGCTCTGCCCCGACGGGGACGGAGCCCGCGGGTTGTGCTGTGCGGCTCCAGGCGCTGGCTCGGCCCCGGCCCGCGCCGCTTTGTTTACGGCGGGGACGGGAGGGAGGGAGGGGAAGGAAGGGAGGGCAGCGTGTGGCCGGGCGGCCCTGCCCGCCGCCACCGAGGAGGGACGCGCAGGACAGAGGTGAGGAGGGGCCGGCGGTGCTGCGTGCGGTCGGCACCTGGCGGCCGGGCTCCGGCCTTGTTGCCTCAGGGACACGAAGGCTCCCCCGGCCCCTCCGCGGCCTGCGCCCCGTCTTCTCCCGCCCTCTTCCGCCTCTTTCTCCCTGGCTGCGGCCCCGCCCGTGCGTGCCCAGCCTTCGCAGCCGGCGGCCCCCGGAGCTCTCGGGATGGGCGCGGCGCTCGCACGGCCCCGCGGGCCGAGCGGAAAGCGGCGGCGGCCGCCGCCGGGCTCGTCCCGCCCCGCCCCTCGTCCGCACCCGCCCGGCCGGCCCCGGCCGCCCCCCGCGGCATCGGGTCCGCGCAGCCGCCGGGGCAGCCACCGCCGCGGGGGACGGCAGCGCTGGGAACGGGCCAGGCCGGCCGGGAATGGCGGGACGGAGCGGGGAGGGTGGCACGGAGCCGGGCTTTGTTCCCGGCCCCGCCCCGCCGGCGGGTGCCGGGGGGCTCCGACGGAGAAACGTGTGCCCCGGCTCCGGGTGGGAAGGGCGGTGCGGGCGGACAGCGACGCCCCCGGCTGCCTCTCCCGCCCGCCGCGCAGCTGTCCCGCTCCCTCGCCTTTGGGTGAAACTTGGGATTTCGGAGCGGCAAAGTAAGAGACGTGTGTGTGCGCCCTGCGCTTGGTGTGTAGTGCCTCGCTGAAGGAGTCGCTCTGAGGTGCTCTTAGGACGAAGGTTGGCTTTTATAGTTCTTGAAGCGTCACATGGGCGTACTAACGTGGCTATAAGTATTGGAGGGGCTTAATTAGTTTTCCCCTCTCTGCTTCCATGTGGATGTTTCTAGTATTTTGGTAATGCGATAATTTTTATTGCTCAGTGAGCAATTAATTTTTGTGTTTTGACTAGAAATCACTGGGCTGGCAATCAGGGTAGCTCTAGGTCAAACATCCTAAGGAATCAGATGGAAAACATAAAAAAACCCCCAAAACTCAACAAAACCCCAAATATTTTGGTGGCTACTCATACCGAGTGAGTTACAAAAGCAGTTTACTGATACAGTTTTAAGGAATAGTAAGAAAATCTGGAGATGAGGTAGCAAGAATGTAACCTGGACTTCCTTCAGAACTACAAATCTAAAATCAACGTTAGGAAAGAAATATACTAAACCAGAAAGGAAGTTCTTCCTTAGTCCTTTGTGCACTACCTATCTCCCAGGCACAGTCTTCATGGAGTGAGAAAGACTTGGATGGTAAGCCACTTTCCTGTAAATGCACACCCGAAAGAGCAAGGTGTTTATATGTTACTGAGGCATTAGGTGAAGAGCCCACTTCTTGGCAGGAACAAGAGATATGAAGCATATAGAGTACTGTGGTAAAGAAGATGATTTGGTGATTGAGCATTGGGTAACGTTTCTTAAGTATTTCCTCAATGTGTTGTTTCCTCAGTAGGGTGTTTCAGTCACTTTGCTTCTGTGTTGTTACTGTCACGCTGAGGATATGTGCTGAATACTTCAGAATCTCTGTGGAAGATTGTTGACCGAGTGCTGTGAAACCACACACTGATTCTTATCTTGTGACACTACTGCAGGAAGGAAACAAACCCCTCGGTAAAAATTGTGTTGCAGGTTTAGTAAGTCATGTATTTAAAGATGAGAATGACGCTCTCTGTGTCAAAAACTTCCTTTATCTGTGGTTTGTAGAGGTCCTTAGTGGTACTTGATGGTGGTTGTCAGTAGACAACTGACTTCCCTGGGCAAACTGCTGCTGTGAATGGCTCCTTATTTATATTCCAAAATTGATTTGGTTAAAGCCTGTGCTGACTTCTCTGGAAGTGGTTTCCTTGGAGCAGAGCAGCGGTGTGTTGCTTTGGGATGTTGTAGAAAACTGTTGCTGAACTTCATTTCAAAGGAAAAGTTGTTCAATTCTTCTGTGGAGTTAGTTAAGGTAAAGTTGGAATATTAATCTAATTCTGTTTCTGTTTGGCTGGCCTAAGTGAACCAAAGCATGGTGATAGCTGGTTCTCATGTAATAGCATGGTTCCTTTGAGGAGGGAAGTTGGAGTGTTGCAGAGCTTGAGTGGTCCTCACATGTTTATTTCACTGTGGATATTTGTCTTTCTAATTTGGGGGGATAAAATTAATTGGTATGCTGAAAGTTTTTGCTAACACAATTGAGAACATGCTGTCTGTATTTACTTTTTCTAAGAACTTAAGAAGATTATAATTCCCTCCAGTGGCTATGCATCAAGGAAAACAACTTGGAAAAGAACACATTCTGCATCAAGCAGGAGTTACTTATTTTATATCTAGCTTTGTATTTCAGGGGGCTTTGTCTTGATCATCTTGCCTAGTGATGACCCCTTCATTATTGTGTAAGGGACCAAAAGACAGTTTTACTTTTTTTTTTGTCCGAGTTCCTTAAGAGGCATATAGACAAACCTTCCACTTCAGTGGACTTCCATAATACAGAACATGGGTGTCTGATATGCTCCCTCTGTCTTAGAGTGCCATGAGCTTTTAGCAGTTTTTGTCTATATTTAAGCTTTAGGTTAACAGAAACTGTAGGTGTCATGTGCACATAATGTCAGAGGAAGGACCTATGGGTTATGTGAGTTACTGTGACAAAAATGAGGATAATAGTTCAGGGTTTGTGACCTGTATCTGTAGTCACCGGCCTGCCTTACCAGTAGGAAATTCAATGTAGCTTATCCCTCAGAGGGAGAGCAGCTGGCCTAGCACACAGCCTGGCTGTTGTTTACTGCTTTGTACTGCTTCTGTATGCTCGCACCCAAACAACTTCGAACCTTTACAACTTCAGTATCTGTAATAATCCTCCCAGGAACAACAGTGGACTGGAGAAGTGTTGCAATGTTAGGAGGTTTTAGGATTCAGCGTTTTCTTGTCTGGTCTTGCTGTGAAACCCGGTAAACTTAAGTAATAGACAGCCAGACTGACTCAGAAAGGGTTGCTTCTGCCTTTTATATTGACTAAAAAAGCAGTTCTTTCTAGTATTTAGCTTGCTTATCTTCAGTGTTTGACAGTGAAGTGTCTTAAGTATGTATGTACTGCCATATAGCTCTGTCTCTTCTAAGACATGTGTTGTCCTTCCTTCCTTCCTTCCTTCCTCTCCTCCCCTCCCCCAAATCTATTATAATCCCTAATTCCCTCTGACATGAACACCTCCCAGGAAGAATGACAAAATACAGTCTCAGATAGCAAG